TATATTGTCTTTGATGCGTATTTTTCTTTTGCCTTTCCCTTTGTGACTGCTAGTATTCTCTTTTCTTATATCGACATCTCACATCTATCCTTGCATCAGATTGACAGCTAATAACAGATGACGATGAATCTTCAGAAAACATTCTATCAGTTATTACAAAATCTAAATTGATTCACTACTTCTAACTATTACAATAGAAAGAATTGCGCCTTTTGTTTATTTACGCCATTCTTTTTTATCCATTTTGCTGTACTCTAATGTCTGCAATACATAATTATTCAAAAAATAGAATCAAATTTTATTTTTTTCAACTACACTGAAATAGACAAGAATACCATCTATACGAATAGAATAATTATATCTTTCCTTATAAAAAATATTTATATAAGTGCCTATTGACCCCATGGAGCTGATAGATGGGATCGAATATAACTTTTTTTGACAAACGTCTCATGAGGTGAGATGGCATAGAACTGTCTCATCTCATGTGGAACCATGATGTACATCTGCTTATGTTAGCGGTATGCGATGGGAATATGATGCATAATCGGCAAAAATGCGGCAATATATGAGTGTCTTATCTTGGTCGTTAAACAAGCCGTATGCGACATAGTTTAAACATAGTCGTAAATCACGGGTTAGGTTTATGACAAAAAAAAGCATGTAAACGGTCCATATCTCACTGTTTACGACTGCAAAGACATCATAATAGAGCCATTTAGAGATACCATGAAGAAGCACCTAAATACAGCAAAAAGAAAAGAAACATTATGCATTAGATATCATGTCTACTATTATAATAATTAGTAACTTTTTCAATACATTTTAGTAGGTACTTTTTTTGTAATCATTCATCATTTTATTAGATGCACAAATAAGCGAATATCATGTCCTAACTGTTTGAGTACAATGCAAATATTATGCATTATAAACTTTTATTTGGTAAATTAACATATATTTTTCTACATTATTGCTTTTTTTTTTGAATATAAAAAGTACTTAAAAATTTGCATTGCATGAATCCTTGTATAACATGAATATTCGAAGAAAAAAACCGCCTAATTTATTCTCTGTTAATAACCTCAAATATTTAACACAGATAATGTGAATATTGCGATTGATCATATGCGTAACAGAGAGTGCTTTAACCTATGAACAATAAACGCATATTTTAATCATGTTAAATATTAATAATTCACAAGGATGAAGTTGCCTGTCATTGAGTTATTGGAAAATTAAGAATAATAAGTATTTCGATGAATTAGTGATAGACATTGAGTAAATAAATTATGATTTATGTTTTCTAACGGAACTTAATCAAGAAGATAATGAAACATATTTCATAGTCATGACCAATATTTGTTTGAAATTAAGAAAACATAAAAAGGATATTTCTTTAGTAGAAATCAACAAATGATTGCATGTTTTATCCAGAAGAAAAAAGAAAAAGCAAGATATGTACCAGAAATTATTGACCCTTGTATAGGAAATTTCATTGATTTTTAAGCGTCTATTATTAGAAGAAATGCTGCATGCCAACATAGTTTTTTCTGCCTACTTACTTAACTTAATCAAAGTTGTTAGCAGGCAAAGAAAGGAAATTAACTTTTATTCTTATTCAAAATATTACAAAAAAAAAGAACACAAGTAACGTAAATTGTCTTTTCAACGTTTATTGATGTTAGTCAAATCGGATGTTTAAGTAAAACAATCAAATAAATAACTTATTTTTGTCCAATATATCATTCTATTGTTCATTGGTAATAAACGTCAGTTTCTGAAAATTTTCCTTTTGGATTTACGTCGAAGAAAAAATAATTATTTTTGGTTACTAGTAATTTGAATTGACAAGCCATTATCCCGGGACGAATTATGTTATCAATATTAAATTCTATAAATAATGACTTACATTTTTGTCATTGATATATTGCAGTTGTTTAGTTCAAAGAATAAAAACAGTAAACAGAACAAAATCTATCGTTACATTAAGCACTGAAAAGATTTATCGAGATTTAATCTTGTCCAAAAATTAGAATGCTTCACGTCTCAATGGTAAATCCTCATCAACCTTGATATAAGCCTTCTTTCTTATTTATTATTCAAATACTCAATTAATTAGGGAAATCTGACGTATTCAAAAAAAGAAAATTACATACATAAGTCTTTTAGAAATAGCATACATTTGAATTCATCATCAGACTAGACTATTAATATTTTTCTTTGACTGTTCTTTTTATGAAAGAAGTTTTTATTCATCTATATGATCTAGACTATTATTAGACAATGACATTTATCTTTTATTACAAGTTCTTTCCAAATATATATATGAATATCTGACGGATTTGTTACATAACTTCATGCTTTTAATGGAATTCAAAAAGCTAATCGTAGAATATTTTATGTGTATGATTTCCGTTTCTTACTATAAAAAGAACATTTGTAAATGTATTCTGTCTTCTGAACCTCACTAATAATTTTGTATTTTAAAACTTGAGTTTTTATAATGTTTTTAATTTGTTGTTCTTCATACATGAATACACAACATTACTGTAACCTTTTCAATAGCTTGTCAATCATGTTGAAAGACAAAATATAAATCAATATTAAAAAACTAGCCAAAAATAATATACAATAAGCATTTGAGTGAACAAATAAGTATGTTGTCATTAAATAGAGCAATATTATTGATATTTCGTCATAAAAATGTTTTTTCTATCCTTGAACAATTGAATTGACACAGGTTTTTTTTTTCTCATAGTTTCCATCAACAGGTTGACGTTGTAGCTCTTGTTGTGATAAACTACTTAGTACCAACATTATAAAAAGGATTTCCGCTTTTTCTCTTGGTCTTTTATCCCATACAAAAAAAAAGTTTTTACATAGGCATTAATGAGTAACTTGCGTATAATAGAAGAAGTGGAAATGCTAAAGGATAAAAAGTCAGATCAATAGTATTAGTGGAGACACAAAAAAACATGAGCAAGCGTAGGCGAGAAAGCCATAGACAATATTTAGAACAGTACCTTTTTTTGTATGCTGAATGAATATAAATACATCCTTCATTTTAGAAATTGATTATTTCCTCATTGTTGTATCTATTGTTTCATAGTTTTACATATACTATTTATATTTTGTATAAGTCAATTTTTAGTATAATATAAGTGCCAAAAATATTGATGATTAATACCATTGATAATGACGGAAATATATTCTCCAAACGTTCTATATTTTATTGTTCTTTTTTAAGTATTTTGTATTACGACACTATATTAACATATACATAACATACATATGTATATAGCCAGTATTAGTTTCTGTAAATTGATATTAAGAGGTCTTTTGAATAACATTACGTAGGCGTTCGGATAATGATAACATGAACATTATTATCGTTCTATAAGCGTGCAGTTTGATAATTCAATGTGAAAAAAATAAATCTCTATGATTTTCTTTCTCAATGCGTCATCATCATTATTTTCTCTCATAACACCTACTTCTCCTTCTTTTTGCAGTCCTTTAGTCTAAAAAGCTTTTTCTCTCTTATTTGTTTTCTCCCTCTCTCTCTCTCTCAGATTCTCGCTTACATATTTCGTATATAAGCAGAAATGATGTCAGTTTTATGTATTGTCACTTAAGAATTGTAATACACTACGAAATTAGAATGTAACATTCTTTTTTTAGATATTGTTCTTTTTTTTGTTTCCTTTGATTTAAACAAAAATGGTTACTTTATTAATTCCAATTCGCCGTTTATTATTATTACTTGTCCTTATTCAATCCGTTTCTCTTTATAAAATATATGCATTAGACAATAACGTAAGTTAATTAACACGCTTGTTATTATTATTTTTTTTTTTTTGATCAAATAATAATTTCTCAATTTGAAAACTTTAGCCATCAAATTTATTAAGTGATTCATTGCCATCTTCTTACGATAAAGAAATCGATCAAGCATTACCAATAAAAAATTTTGAATCTAATTATGATGATGATGTGGTTTTTGATATTAATAATGATGAAACCAATGAAAATTTAACACCATGGTTATCATTTATATCAGACATGAAACAATATCAAAAACCATCATCGAAACGTTCGATTTTTCCAATTAAATTTCGTTCATCCAACAATTTAGTACAACGTCGTAATAATCGACCACATTGGAATCCACTCGTAGCTGCGTATAAACGATGTGGTGAATTATCAACACATGAAGAGCGCGAATCATGTTTCAAGGATGCCGTTCAAAGGCTTTTTGTTTTTAAGTTACGAAAATAATAAAAAGATCTGAGACAAATACAACTGAAAATATCAAATGAAAAAGAAAACAACAAAAATAATAATCAGCATTTTTGAAAAGTAGTCATAAATCGTTCCCCGTTTTTTTTATGTCGCGCAAGCGTGTGTATGTGTGTATATCTTATCAAAAAATACAGAAAAAAAAACGATTAGTTAATCAACATTCGATTCGTAATTCTGTATAATCTCTGCTTGTTGTTATATTTCGTCAATAAAGAAGATAAGAGAAATAGATTGGGATACAACCGGTAAACTGATTAAATTGAATTTTTTATTCTACGTCCTGGAAGAATCTCATGACTTCAGAAATACATGTGTTCTTTAAAAGCCTATTGAGAAATCTACTGGTTTGATTTAGACGAAATAAGAAGACTAAAATGTGCGTAACATTTTTATTGATATTGATGAATAATTTGACACATACATGCACGAATATATTTTGTTGTCATCTTATTCTGATAAAGAGTTTTCTTGTTGTTTTTTTTTTTGTTAACACTTTGTTTAATTAAGATCAGTTAGAATTGATCATTTACACAATGTAGTACACTAAAAAAACAATTAACTAGATTGCTCAAATTTATTATACATCTTCAATTCACCTGAGTACAAAAAAAAAATATGTTCATTGTAAAACAAATGAAAAAAATGAAGGCATAAAAATGATAATTATGATTTTTTTTTTTCAAATTTTCTTTTATATTTTAACCAATCATTTGCTTTTGTTCTCTTTCAAGAACACGTAAAATATTTTCCAAAAACATATAATCGGATCGTTGTAATTGAAATCTTCGTAATATATCCTGTACCAATTCAGAACTATGATCAATTTGTGTTGTTTGTGATGATTCATTTGATAACATTGAACTTATTAAGGTTTGTGTAGGTAACTCTGTCACTGTATTATTTGTTCCCATGCTACGTTGCTCATCTGTATCACCACTTGTCATACTTGTTGTTGATGCTGAGTCACCAAATGAATGAACGCTTTCATGACTACATAACTAAAAGTAAAATTAAAAATTTCTTTTATTAATTAATATTTTTTAAATCTGTATATTAAAAAGTAAAAGATCATAGATAGAACCTATTAAAGAAAAATGTAAGCTGCAGTAGAGAAAACAAATGTATAAGTCTGATTATCAAACAAATACACTGAGCATAAGTTTAAATCGGTTTAAATAAGGCTTTTTCTTTTGAAATTTAAACCAACAACGTAAATACGATTTATTTATTATTTTTGTCAAGAATATTTGTTAATATTCATTAAAATAGAAATTGGATGTTATCTCTCATCTTTTTTTGCTTCTATGAATAAATATATTACGTAGCTTAAGAGGATTATATATTTCTGATCTTTTTGTTGCGTTTTTTTTTCTATTGATGTTAGGTAAGTTTTGAGAAAAGATTTATCTTAAGATAAAATATAATTATATAATTCGTTTTTCTTTCTTTTTGTTATGATTAAGTTTGAAGACTTGTTAGATTTCAAAATTAAAATTTGTTTTTGTCACTAAAATATACATACTGATTTATTATTTGCTTTCATATATTTAAGAATAGCTAAAGCTAGAAAATAAATTTCCTGTAAACTATCTTCCATATTTAATAAAGCAAAATCAGCTGGTAATAATTGTTTAGCTAAATGTGCATGTTCAATTAATGGTTGAATTAATGTTGTACGTTCTTGTCGTCGTGCTACATCATTATGTTTACTTGAATATAAATTAACAGATATATCATCTAAATTAATTAATATTGTTATTGATGTATCAATTTGTTCGCCATTTAGAAAAACACCACCATTCTCTGATATATCATATGTATGTTGAGATATTATTGAATGACGTATGTCATTTATATTTGTTGTTTCAATAGCTTGTAAAATAAAATCTGATGAATAAGAAGATGTAACTGATGATATTAATGAAAGTGCTAAATCTAAATGATAATCATTAGTTATTTGTATTGGTTCATGACCAAGATGATAAGGTTCAAATAATGATAGAGACATAAGAGTTTTTGTTGGTGTTAATGGTACAACTGTTTTTATTGGTGATTGTAATGTTACCGAAACTTTCTTATGTGGTTTTACAGACAATCTAAATAAAATTTTAAATAGATGAAATGATTAGTTTATTATATATAATAAACACTTGAAATATATACAGTAGAAATTCACATTCCACACAGATAGAATTTTGTGAAAAACGTTGAAATGATAAAAAAGAAAATATCGAAAACAAGGAGTACTATTAAAATTAGAAACGAATGTTTTTTTTTCTATTGGGTGGTCAATAAAGATAATCCGGCTAGTCATTGTTTTGAATTTCATTTCTTTTGAAGTTTAATATTCAATGTTTTAAGTTGCCATTGAACAACAGCTGTGTTTTATTGTTAAATGATTTGAATTTGATGTTCCAGAAGACTACGGATGGATGTAGAGAAAATCCAACATCCACACCCAATGTACATTATACACATCTATTTATTTTATTGCATTCTTTTAGTGGTTTTCTAATTTCTTTTTTCGACATTTTTCCATCAATTGCGACAGACATCTTAGCAATAGCATATCTCAAACCGTGATAGATGCTTTAACGACACTTTGTCCCACAAACATTGTTGACATATAATCGAAGGTCGTATATTAATAGCATCTCGTTAAAATATAGGAACTATTTTCTGATCAAGTGTCTGTCGGATTAAGTAAAAATATGTTGAAGAACTGTGTCCCAGAATAGACTGAATAAAACAATCTCTCTTTGATCATCAACAGTAGCTGAATCGTGTTTCACATTTTAATCCTACAGGGTTTGTGCTAACAGCTTCTTTTTATCCCTATAAAATAGAGTATGGGTGCGAGGGTTGAAATAGGTATACATTTCATTCATATCTGCACTCAAACACCTTTACGATCATTGTGCGCAGTTTTAGTTTTATAAACAATAATGTTTTTTTCTTACTATCCGAATGATAGAGAAAGTAAATATTTACTATACATTAAGATCTATAATATTTAGCTTTGTTGCATTTCCATCAACATTATCAAATATAGCCTTGTCAATCCAATATCTTGATTTTATTGGCAAGGCTTTTTATTTCCATTTATTTTCTTCGAGAATCTCTTCATCGGATACATGATTTTTGTTTTAAGCAACTTACACGATGTCCATTTTTCTTTTGCTTTTGTTTTTTATTCATGGACTTTAAACTGAAGATAGAAGAAAGACTAGAAGCAATAAGTAAGATCTGTACGATATGATTCAAAGAAACAAAAAGAAAAACAATACAATGAATCATTCTATAATGCATTTTAATTTCTCTATTTACTCTTTGATTCTTGATCAATTTATTCTGATTTAAAATTCATTGCTCTCAGATATTCTTATCAATAAAGAAAAAAAAAAGAAGAATTCTTTTAAACTTACTGATTTTTTTCTTGACGTTCATCAAAAATCATTTGTTCAATATGTAATATTATTGTATCTAATACTTGTGATATATCATTTTCATCAACACTTTGACTTTCAATATCATCAGATGTATATGTTAATTGATAAAAATTTTGTGGTTCAGTATATGATGTTGTTATATTATTATTATGATTAGCTGATGTATCATTAGATAATATATCAATATCATCTTCAAGATTTTGTTCATCATCATCATCATCCCAATGTATACTATGAACTGGTGAATATGGTTCAATATCTTGTATTTGTGTTGAATTAGCAATTAATTCATCAATATATAAACTAATTTTTTTATATGCTCGATTTTGTTCATCATTTGTATCTGATAAATTTGTATTTGGGATTTTATATGTTAAATGACTTGGACGTATAAAAAAACTTAATAAATAAAGTAAACGATTAAGTAATGATGAATCACTACCAACAAGAACTGTTCGACAAATATATAAAGGATTACCATAGGCACTAAACAAATCTCTAAATAAGAAATCAAATAGATTATTCAATAAAAAAAGAAAATGAATAAAAATAAAAATAATCAACTAACATCAATTGCCCCCATAATGGACTATATTGTAGAAAACTTTGTAATGAATTAACCTATAAAACAAAAGAGATATTATATATATGAATACAATTTATCCTAATGTTTTTACATAATCTGCTTTAGCTTTAAATAAAACTTTTTGTTTAGATTTGGCAAGTGATGGTGAGACTGTTGATAACCAAGATAATTGATAGCTAAGTACTGCTGATAAGACACAATTGAGAAAACTAGAAAAAAGACATTAAAAAAAAATATATTATTGTACATTGCCTTATTAATCTTTCAATAAAATATTATTATAGGTGATGAGTTAAGTTATTCAACACATACTATATTCGAACCTTGAAATAATTTTGGACAAGTTTATTCTAACGAATTGTTTGTCTCAAATCATTTTTTCAATAGGATACTGAAACTACGATGCATTTCAAAATGTATTGTGCTCTACTGTGTTTTGATTATCTTTTAATATAGGAACATTATAGAAACTTGTGGTTTTCGTCATTGAGGAAAGAAAAATCCAGGGTAATCGAAATTTGATTGGTTAGCTATTAGCCAATCAGGTGAATTCTTGACGGGAATTTTCCAAAACGGTATTCTGAAACTATTTCTCGTTTGATCTAAGTAAGACTAACATTTCTAGCTTGTTCCATTCGAGACTACAAGACTTTTCCTGAGACTTCTGATTTCAGCCGTTTGACTGGTGATTATCCGGAACAGCAACTAGTCAAAGATAATTCACCATGCTAAATCGAATAGTAATATTTGTTTACAGGTTTGAAATGATTTAACACTGTTATCTCAATATTTCCGAATCGTTGACTTTTTCGTAGCATGGAGACTGATTGTGAAATTCCAGAAATATTAAGATAACAGAGTTAGATCAGTTCGAACCTAAAAATAAATATAACTATTTAAGTCATGATGGTAAATTACCTCTGCCTAGTTGTTTTTGCGGGTGATCATAGACCAATTTGTTGAAATTGAAATCTCATGTAAAGTCTTATAACTCTCTAACGGAACAAGATAAGACTATCGACCTTGCATAGATCGAAAGAGAAATGACTTCGAAAAATATCATTTTCCTAAAAATTTCCACCAAGAACTCATCTGGTCGATTGATGACTGTCGAATCAAATTTCGATATACTTCAATGCACCCTCCTCCCAATCTTTTCTTTTGAATGGTGAAAATCGCAGATCTCTATTATGTGCGTATCATAAGTAACTCAAAAAAACAGTATAATACATTATATTTTGAAATAGATAGTAAGTTATGACATACAACAGCCCTCCCCCGTATAACTGTTGTAAGATGGTAGACAGATACAATATTGTATGCATTTAATTAGCTGATTGAGATTTTTTCGCTATGTTGTATATCGATCTGATAAACTTACTCGCCATATTTAGGTGTCGTAAAAAGATCAATAATTGAGCACAATTGTTGAGCTAATGCACGTCGTTTACTCATAGTTAAATGTTCTTGTGTTAGAATATACCATGCGGGTGATACCAGACGGGGACGGGTATATAATGTATAAAGTTCATCTTTAAAACTGAATAATTTCTAGAACAAAAAACAAATTATATACATACGGTGGGTCCAAATATTCATCATACAGAGATTTAAAGAAAAGAAAATCTTCAGTATTCTCAAAATCCAGGATATCTAGGAAATTCAAGAGCTAGTTCTTCAGCATACAAAACTTAAAAATAAAAGTTTCTTTTAATTGCAAAGAACAATTTATGCTTTTTTTGTCGTTCAATTTTCCTTTCGAAAATGATGACTAAACATTTTTAGGTGTTTCTTAATATCGATGTAATTTCATCAAAAAAAGTCATGAACAGTTTGGAGACGTTTCATTTTCTAGAGAATCAATTGCTCGGTGTAACTAAAATAGACTTTCATTTATAAGTTCTGCATTCTGTAAAACTAGGTTTTTGGTTAAGTTTGTATGATCAGTTTTTGAACCTACTGTAGGTAATAAAAGTAAAATTTTCGATTGATACATACATCCAGAAGAGCAGCAGCAATTGAATTTCGTTCATTAATATTAACTTCTGCTGCAGTCATAATTTTTTGAAAATGATTTTCTATTAATGGTGCATGTGTACAAAAAAATTCTTCAAAATGCCTATAAAAATAATCAAAAATTATTGATACATAAATAAAAAGAACAATCTTACTTATATTTAGACAATTCATTTGGTTGAAATGTAATAATAAATGCTACACCAATACATCGACGAAAACGACGACCAGGCTAAAAGAATTTTCAAGTTACAAGCGAAAAAGAAAGAAAATTTGCTTTTTTTTTTCTTTACTTGTTTTTGAGTTTTTTTCATTGATCGATTAGCACATTTTAACCATCGACGATAAAGTCGACCAAATCTTTGATTTGTTAAATCTTCACCAAGTAGATCAATACTTGAGATAGTCGATGAAGCAACACTAACATTTGAACTTACTAAAAATTAAAAACAAATTTCCATATATTACTTAAGACATATCAAAACTAATGGTAGTATTACTTTAATTCCAGATAAAAAAGCTTAAAAAAACTTTCTCTCTATATTGACTGATAGTAAAAACGATGTTCTATTGTTCTGTGTAATTATATCATTCTTCAACTAATATCATAATAGGAAAATTTCAATAAGACATGCTTGTACAGCCCATTGGGCTCGAAAATTCTTAGACCTGATAGGCTCTACATGTTTCTCTATAATGTATGATGGTTACAGGAGTTCATATTGTCTTCGATATGTATTCTTTTCTTGGTTTTTTCCTTTCTTCTAAATGCATAGCTCTCTACATACATACATAAAGATGCATGTTCTGTTTGTATCTGTAGTCTGTTAATATATTCTCAAGGAAGTAACATCTTGTTACTGTTCATTTGTGTATTACATGAATTAAGGAAATTATCTCTGCTACATTAAAATGTGCATTGCACTTAATATTTAATCAAGAGTTATTCATGATAAATTGTGTTCTGTTTGTAATGATGAAGCTTCTTTTCTTACGACAGTTGAAAGATGGTTTATATAGTTTCGTGAAAGTTGATAAGAGGTTGAAGACAAAGAACGAGCTATTTATTTCTGTATTTTGTTCCGTTGTCAGCACCTTTTGTATACCCTAATAGATATAGATAGCAATGCATTAGAGAAGAGAAGAAAATCATAAAAAAATATACATATCCAAAATAACATGAACTAATGTGTAACTATCATACATGGTAGCCTAATGAGTCTTATTGAAATTTTACTATTATGATATTAATTAAAGAATAATTAAACAATATAGTGAAGAAGTTTTTTTGTAACCTTTTTATAAGGAATTAAAATGCCACTGCAACTACTTTTGCTATGCATTAAATATAATAAATATAAATATACATGATCGATTCGATGGTGATGATCCAAATGGATAAAATGGATTAATTGTTACTGTTTCTGGTTCCGATGTTATTGATGTATTGATTAATGCATCGGATCTAAAAACAAAATAATTTAAATAAAAATAAATCAATTAAAACATTAATAAGAACCTATCAGGTAATTTAAGAACAAATACTCGACTCATCATAATTTGTAACGGTGATCTATAATAATAGTTTAATCATTTTAATTGATGTAAACTAAAAACTTACTTGCTCGTATGAATTTTCATGCCAGTGCCTTTAAATAATAATGGCATAGTTCCGAATATATAATCAGCATAATTACGTATGTCATTTGAAGCTTTCATTAACTAAATCGTTAAAATAAGAAAAAAAAATGTTTAATTGTTCTTTTTTTTTTTTTTTTAATTTATACTTCATAGATTTTCCCTCGATGTGTAAAACGTGTTATAGCAGGACGAGAACGATTTGCACTATTACTGCTTGGACCTATTGGTGGTTTTGTTGTTCGATTCTATATTGAAATTTTTAGTTGATTAAGTATAACAATAAATGCAAATCTTACAGATCCTGGAACTTGTGATAATGATGTTCGAGTATTGACTGTTGTTGATGGTTTATTAGTTAAATTTTCATTATCAGAAGATGATACAACACGTAAAGTTTTTGAATCAAATATAAGTTCTAATCCAACATCATCACTATCGGAAAAAACAAGAAGACGTATATGATCTCGATTTAAATCTGGCGGTATCCATGGTCTATGAAGAGAAATATTGAATAATTTTTGATTAAATAATAATGATTTCATTTTACATACGGTAGATCAAGAGGAACAAGAGGAATTAATGAAGATGAAGATGATGATGATGTTGACGATGATGTATTACCAGTTGAAGAATTTTTTTTCGATGATGATTGTAAATTTTTTCCAAGAACACGATTAAAAAATGAAGCCATTTAGATTGTGAAGATTTATAATGGAAGAGAAGAAAAAGAAAAACAACTATAAAATCCAACAATTCAATTTCCGAACGAAATGTTATTAACTATATCATCATAATTTTCTTTTTGTTTCTGCCGTTATTTTATTGTACAATGCGTCTTTTCCAATAAACAGCAATCTCTATCAACAATTGATAGATAGCGCCATCTAGCGATCTAAGTTGAGATATAGAAACATTCGAACATATGAATGACTTTATGATGTATATTTTCTTTTTGAAATAGAAGAAAGAGAAAATGCTTATTTCATAATAATATATTTCTCTATCACAGTTGTTAAAATCGATTGATCTATGATATATATAAAAAAAAAAAGAACTAGGTGTCAATGCCTAATAAGGACACGAACCAAATCAACACAAGCAAAAAAAAAGGAAAAACGAAAGCAGATATATTTTTAAGAGAATTCGTATGCTTGTGGTTTATGTGCACCAGCGCAGGCATGTAGTGATGCAGTAATGGCTTCTTCGGATAAATCATCTTCAGAATTAGCATAGATTTGAATATGATAACCATTAAAAAATCTTTCAAATTCATGTTTATGAGTTGATACACGAGCACGACGTATTGGAGTCTAATTAAATAGAAAATTTTATATAAAAATTTATAAGAAAATATAATAATACTTACTACGTCTGCTCCAACATATGTAATAAATACGAATTTAGCTCGTTTACTTCCATGATCATCAACAGCTCGAACACGAGCAACACCATAGTAAACTTGATTTGGATTTAATTGTGTTTTCATTTCTGTTAAACCACCTGTTCCTTTCCCACTGAGTACGATATCAGCATTTTCACCATAAGTCAATAAAATCCTAGATTAAGAATAAAAAGAGAACAAAAAAAAAAAATCGAATCAATCAATATCATTAAGAAAAAAAATTAATCATACCAATTAATGTCTGTTGCATCGTTTCTAACCTCTTGCCAAGCTTCTTGAATTTCTTTATTACTTAAATTAACTGAACGTTTTGGTCCTGCCATAGTTATAATATGCAAAGAAAAACTAATATATATGTGGTTTATTTTACTCTTGCACAGCTGAATCACACAACTATAACGAAGCAAAAAAAGAAAGTAGTGTATATAATAATCTGTTGCGCATCGCATTACATCTATGTTAGATAACCTTTTTTTTTTTCGCTCGGCCCACAAACATCGTTTGATAGAGAGAAGAAGAAAAAAAGATGAAAACGACATGGACTATTAACGTACTCCGAAAGATATTGTTGTTGTTGTTGATGATGACGATGATAATGATGAAGCATATCATATCATATCTTTTTTCTACTGAGAAAAATAAATTTTGGCATGAAAATTTCTACACAGTTTATTTTGTAAGTAAAGATAAAAGAGGTTAGTTGAGTTAAAAGTACAAAAAAGAAAGTCAAAGAAAGAAAAATGAAAAAAAATATTTCAATCAATAATACAATCAAATTTGTTCGACTTAAAAAATTACGTGATCGAATATAAATAAATTATCTACCAAGGTTTAACGCATTATCTTGATCGCTTTAAAATGTACGATAAAACTACAAAATAAAACTGACCTTGTATTTGCATGTGAACCTATTTTCATTAACTTATAACGAGCTCTTTTTTTACATTTAATTGATGATAAGTATTTACGATACGAGCAACCATTAGGTCAATGATCACTATTACCTTCATCATATACATGCACATGTGCCAGTGAAAGTAAAAATGCATTATACATTGTAAAGTATCATTTTCTTGGCAATTTATATTCGTTACAGCATTATATAGACTATTAAGAACTACTTAAAATTCAAAAAAAAATATTGAATTTAATGTTAATAAAGACAATATTTCATGTAACAGGAACATCTAATGTTTTAATGAGTTCTATAATATTAATAGCATTATATAGATTTTTTGCATTAGATCTTGTAACATTTTTAATAACTTTTGATGGATCAATATTACGTCGAATAGTGTTTTGATACTTTCATATATGAATTCATTGATCTAGTTGTGCCATAGCAAAATAGAATAAATAATTTTTTAAATCTTTCATGTTTACAATCAAATGTATGTTTAATATATATGCTGTGTATCTTTTATACTATTTAGATGAGTTGAATTTAAACAAATAAATGAACATTTATTTACAATGTTACTTGGATCACATAACCATAATTTATATTCATTATAAATAAATGGATACCATTGATCATTTGAATGTTTAACATAAAGATAAAGACTAGCGGTACAATTTGTTTTATTAGAACATATGTTTGGATGAGAATATGTTCGACCTTTATACTCACATGATTCACCTGGTTTATATTCTCGATATTTTTCTTTTTGTTTTGACTATAATTGGTTGATTATCATTTTAATAAAAAAACAAATGTATTTACATTTGTTATTCTAAATAAATACTGAAAAACAATCAAAGTATTTTACATATTTTATAGGCTTTTTTTGGCATAAATGATACTTTATTCGATGAGTATTTGTACTATGATAAGGATTTCTATGACTATGCGATAATTGACAAACACTACAATTTTCATAATTTGGACTTACATATCGATAAGCAATTTTACAATCATGCATTTCATTTGTATGAGTATTTACACTAAGTCGAATGCCTAATCGATATAGAAATTTATCATGCAAATAAAACAAAAAAACATGAAATTTTACTAAAAGCACATATTGACCTTGATAGGACAGTTTAATGAATGTACTAAGTTTAAGATACCATGCTACTAATATGTCTTCGGACCCTAGTGTACTGTATGAATCTTTAGCACTTGATTAAAAATTGTTCAATTTACAAACTTGCTAAGAAATTTTCATAGAATGTTATAGAAACTATCAAGGTGCTTAGTAAGTGCTCATGTATTGACAGAATTCTTAGAAGGATATTCAACCAAGATCGTGTGACATAATGGTAACAGAGTACTCGAAAAGGTACTGTACTGTCATATGACCCAGTACACAAGTACCTTGAACTTAGTACATTCACTAATGTTGATTCATTAAATTTATCAGGATTCGATATTTTTTTTAATATAAAATATCTACTGTGAGGGTATGAGGCGAAGAGAAGATCCACACCAGTATCCTCAAATAATTTGAAATCTCAAACGTGTTTTTCAAATGGGCACGGTTTGATTACCTCTGAAAAATGTTTGTTTATTTTGCACATCTAACTCTGCAAAAAAAGACTTACTGATTACTCTAAGCAACGTATTTGTTCAGATATTTTCAAAAATCATCCATTAAAGCCCTACAAATCTTCTAAAATCAAAACTACTTTGCTTATTTCGATACTAGGCTACTCAAATAACATGCTCATATATTTATTTCATAAATAAGTTTTTTCGACAAAAATTCAGTTTTATAAGCAGTAAAGGATTCTAACGTCTCCCATTTCGTTCAGAAAACTTTCAAAAAGAAACATCAAACTGAACGATATAATCCTACAAGTAATAGGTTGAACATTAAATTCCTGTGAAGTGTTAACTTAATTTAAAACATCTTTGAATTAAACGGAAAAAGTTAATCTAATCGAGTTCTAATTTAATCAAGAAAGAAAAAATTCCACTTTTGATGTCAGCACATACTTCCAATGTCTGAAAGAAATTTCTTTTAAAAAATGACGATAGTAATAAATGCTATTGTTTCAAGTGAAAACTTCGGCACATCTTTCTAATACAGGTCATTATATTATTGTCAGTTTCAAGGTCATTGTAAAAATTGTTTTCCATTTTAACACCAGTCTCACATCTGTTTACTCAATGTGAACGTGGAAAAAAAACCAGGATATCGAAAATTTATCATGGTTTTGTTTTGTATGCAATGCACAAAACTCAATCAAAAGATTTATGAAATAAAAATTTGAATAATACAATTTTTTGTTTGTAGTGTTTCATAGAATTTAATGCACGGATTTATATATAAAGAGAAGGAGATAGTAGTGTGTAAAACAGAAACAAGAAAACAATAGAATGGATTCAATCGAAATTCAATCGCAGAAACAATCATCTGCTGGCGTTTATACTTCAACTAATAGACAATACTTGCAACAAGCATCGATTCTCAAACTAGATAATCAAGAAACAAAGCCTAAGAAAAAAAAGTTCAGCTCAAATTTCGCACATCCACTCCAAAAACACAAGCATTTGAAGATACTGAACATAATCATTCAAAACTAGACCGATCAAACAGATCAGTTATTAAAGATCATGATTGTGCTTTATCGTCAACAAATATCCTTACTGCTGAGTAAAATAATGATATATATATGGATCTAAGTCAAACATAAAATCCTATTTTTTGTAGATTGCTAGAAATCAATGGCAAACAAGTTTGCAGTACTCGATCAAAGATTCTTACTATCATCATTGTACTTTTTATCATTTTAACTGTAGCTATTGTTGTCGGTGTAGTAGTTGGCGCTACTAAGTCTAAAGGAAGCATATCGGAAACAATAACAATAAACAACCAAACTTCATGTGAATACATTTCCCTATTGTTTTTGATTTAGATATTTAAGCGAAACGGTTTTCTTAGCTTTAGTATCAACAACAACCTTAGTCAGTAGTATTAGTATAGGAAATCAAAGTGGACCACCTTGTTCATCGTATACAACAATTAATGATCCATCACGAAATGTTGCTCAACCTTTTTCATAAGGGTTTTGGGATAATGGAACCCCATTCAATACGAGTAATGATGGTTCTTGGATACGATTTATTGATACTGGTGGTACTACAATTCCATTAACATCACCCACTATAAACCGTTGCGGTGCTTATATAGGAGGCTGGTTCAATGGAACATTACCAACAACAGTGGGTATTGTAGTTAACGGAACTGTATACTTCGGAATACATAGTAATCCGACTGCTTTCTGTGTATCTATGTCAGTAATTAACTGTAGTGGCTTCTATGTCTACTTTTTACCATCTACAC